ATATGTTTAAAAAACATAGGCATTGCAACTGTCTCGACTGTGATAATAGCCAATTTAGATGTTGCTTGCTAAATGTTTGTGCTTGTTACTGACGTGTCCAATACATTTTTATATGTACACAGGAAATAAAGATTATTATTATTGGAAAAACAAAAGTTGCCCCAATTTTAACCAAACCGAAAGTGATACCGGAAGTTTCAATATGCCATCGGAGTGATCGTAATGTCACATACAAAATTATATTTGACAAGTTTCTCGTACCTCGCCAATTAAAAGAGATATTGAGGTGACAATATCATCTTTAGCACACTGTATATGGTAAATAACAAATACATTTTAAGAAATTTCAAACATGCAACTAGTATCGATATATATAGTTAACGAACCTCGTAACGAACAATATAATGTAATAAACCATTTTAAAACACGATCGGAAACAAAAAAACCAACTCGGCAACGTTTAAAAATGGCCACCCAAATGACTATTCCCTCCAAAACTAAACAAGAACCCGCTTAAATTTGAAAAGTGGCACGTGATGAAACATCTAAGGCAGGGTCCCTTATGTTAGTTGTAGACCACGCTATCACCTGAAGCAAAGTAGGGAAGGACCGTTAAATAAAACACTGAAATTGTGAAAAGTTTGTTTAATAATCATCGTAATTATTAAGATTGTGAAAGCCCGGAAATGTAGTTGATGTACATTCATATAAACAAAGCAAGCAAAGCGAAAAAGTGTCGTACTCTCGCAAAAGTAACTGCTAAAGGTAAAACGAGTACGACGTAAGAAAAACCTCGCAGTTTGATTATTACAATCCAAAAGTTAATTAACAAAATATTTTGTAAAAGTTTAAGCAGTAGTAAGTAAGATAGTAAATGCATATATACAATGTTGGTTACAATCAAGGTTAAAGGCAGGTTTTTGGGAACAATGGGTCAGATAGTAGCAGGTACTTAAATTGTGAGAAAGGGTTAAGAGTACAGGATGTGACTCATCTTTGGTGCAATAAAGTCCTTTTGTTAAAAGCAAGATGGAAAATTACATGGCCTTGTAGGCAAATTTAACTAAAAACAAGATATGTGGAAATTATTGAATCGCCACTCATTTATCGCACATAGATTCTAAACTGAAGAGCTTTGATTAGCGTAATCCCGCTCCTGCAAGATGGGTAACCCGGCCCTGGTTTCGGGATTTCGAGCCTACAGTTGGATGTCGAAGACCATCACGGAATTAGGTGTCTTACTACAATTTTGACTACAGATTTTTTCCACCCCCGTGACTGCTTCATTCAGTCAGTACATACATAAAACAAATCGGTAATTTCCACATATTAAAATAAAATGATCAAAACTTATATGAAACTTCAGGGACAAGACCAAGTAATCAACATCAATAAACATAAATTAAGCAAACATTACACCAAAAATGTAAACAATTACAAACAATAGCATAACGGTATCACACATATGATTCTGCATTGCGGTTAAATCAAGTAAATTTCAAAAACAGAGATTCAAACACACAACAAATATAAAATGCGGCATACAAAACACAAATACGATGTAAAGAAATGCAAAGATTACTACCTGCATTGAAAAACACAAAATAACAACAAACATTTATGGAGGGACGCGTTCACAACCGCTATTCAAGACAAGATGCCAAAAGTAACCCCCGTTTGTGCTTTCTAGATGGCGCAAGTAGCTTTTTCCCACCTAGAAATTGTATGGTTGCCAACTCTCTCAAATGTATGTATCGTCGTAAGTTGTATATACAGAGTGGAACCTTTCAGTGTACATATTGCAATTTTGCAAGAAACATTGAACATATTCTCTTAAAACACAAGTCTTCAAAGGGTTTAAAATGTGCACACAGTGTGATTATACAACGAACTAAATGTTGTGAATTGGACATCTATCAAAGTAGTTGTAAAAAACAAAAGTAGTGGAATGCGCATTTTTGTGAAGTTATGTCAATTTAATTATTGTATCGTGAAAAAGTAAAGAACCCACAAGAGAACGGGTAGTTCTGAGCAACCTTTGTTGTACCCGGCACGTAAGAAGGAGAAAGATCACGCATCCCCACTATTCATATTCGTTCGTACTGCAGACTCTAAATTAGTCATCTGCGGTTCTGCGCATAGCCCGCTTTCTTACGTGCCGCTATCTGTACAAAGCAAAGTTTAGTCGGCATAGTTAACTCGCAATACTTCTTGTGCACAGTGTGATTTTGCAACGCATAAGTCAAGGACCAATTCCAATTGAAAACGGTCGAACACGAAAACATGTGAAAGCAGGGTCGCTATTAAAGGTGGACCCAAAGGTTTTAAGGTTAAAAAATATGAAATCCCAGTAACCGCCATATTTGGTCCTTCGAACCGGATGGTACATTTGATCCTTTGAATGAACTGGTGCCGCGTTACCACAATTGTTCCGGTCCCAGTGAAATGCTACATTTTGAAGTGGCTACAATATGGAGAGAAGCTGACCACGAAGCGGTTCGAGCTCGCAACGTTCAGACAATGCTAGTCACACAATAAGCACCAGGACATGATTACTATGCCAAGAAGTTCTACAAGCGCCAGATTCCTTCATGGCTGGAACCAACTCACATTCCAATTGATGCCGCGAAAATGCTGGATACTCTGAGCGAGAAATCTAATCCCCCTGGAAAGCAGAATCTGTAAACTCTGTCTGTGATTCAACCACAGCACGGCGCAACAGTTAAGGGGAAATCTCCCACCAGTGCAATGCATAACTCCAAGGAAGTAAACTGCAAAGACAATAAAACAATACACATTGTTGGCAAGGTTGATTTATAAGTATTTCCCGCATATTAACGTAATTAACCTAAAGACGTAATATCTGTGATATAAATGGCATGTACAAGCTTACGTTAAAACTGTCGGTAAACGTACCCGGTTTTGAAATATACAATAATCCCCGACCGAATTTTATCCCGTGTAACATTTGCTGGGATGAGCATTAGGGTTTGCAATCCCAACGCTGCTTTTCCGACACATGGTTTTTGAGCGCGACCGCCATCTTGAAATTTTGAAATAGCAACATATGTCATGTGATACGTTGTTAGAAATCTTATTTTTTCTCTTTCTTACTATCTTAATCATGAATTTGGTGTTAAATTAGAAACGGTGGATATTTCACGTAATACAATCGTTGTAAGGAGGAAAACCATACATAAGTACTGTGTTTTTGTCACTTATTAAACATCTGCTCATTGCTTTTTTATTTGTTAATTTTAAGGTATCTAAATTTGAAGTGCACTACATTAGCCAGCCAAGAACATGGCAAGGCAGGGCGATACAACCTTGTTGTTAGAGATAAACAAATCGTAAATCTTCAATCTTTAACAGAATTTTATTATAACATTTAAGCGGTTATTTGATGCTTTTAGAAAAGAAAAATAAAATAAACTTTCTGTAAAATTAAGGAAAATTAGATTTTTAGGTTCACATTATGGAAAACACAGCCGCAGATTTGATACGAAGACATTCTATGTGGTGCTAAATGTTCCAGAAACATTAATGCTAACTATTTGTTAACTCGGTTCAGTTCCAACAAAAATCCGTATGTTACTTTAAATTTCTACTGACTTTTCATTTCCTTTTTGTTTACCCTGTAACCTACACGCATTAAAACTTACCTACCTTCACAATGCTCAATGGCTACATCTACATACTGTGTTATTGATATTTGTCTACATTTTATTACATTCATGTGTCTTGAGTAATGCCATAGCAATTCCTTGCAATCTGTTATGTTAATGAAGTTATACATGCATTTTGGGAGTGATTCGAGAGTAAAAATGGCGGTAAGATTTGAATAACTACTTACCAATCCGCCCCTAAACGCACAGTAAAGGCTATCTTCTTATTTAATAATAAATTTCCCATTAAAATGAAAACGAAAGTTAATAATAATTTAATCAAGGAAACTTTATACGATACGTAAACGTCAGTATTTTCTAACTTTACTTGAAGCCGTAAGTATCAAAATTCCATCAACCAAGAGCGAAGTGCAGGTTCTGTTTATCGATCATGTCGCGATATCGAGGCACTTAAAGCAAAGCATAAGCTTCTTAGGGAATTCTGAGGAAGTCTTCTTCCGCTTTCTGACTTCGGACCAAGTCTTTAAGGAATACACTCTGAGAGAACACTTAACTTGATGCAAATTTAATGCGAGATAGACTTAGTTTTGAGATTGCCACAGGGATTACGTAATATCGATTCACAACACCCGGTCTTTAATTTTTAACTTATGATTTACTACCAACTTTTAGGCTTTTAGAGAGAAGATATTTTCGGTTAAATTGTTTATTTTGTAGATTAATTCTGTGATACCCTTTACTTTAGCGTAGAGTTTGGGTTTTATTTTTGTACGAAACCGGCTATACATTTTAATTGAAGTTATACTAATGCCGTTTAAAGGAATTTTCACTTAATTGCTTTTGTTTGTTTTAACTTTGCATATCCGAATGTACCCAGGTATAATGTGTTTTATACAGATGTTTTATTTACAATCATGGGTCATACTTTCCTAAATTCAAGTCGGCGCTCTTCCCGTTAGTCCGATTGAGACTGTTGTAAATTAAGAATTATGATGTTTTTACTTTATGTTGATGAGTTTGAAGGGATAGTGAAAGTAAATGATTTAAAATTGGGTTTTTCCGGTAACTACGGTTGTATTTAAAAAAAATACTACGGATTTTAGATCTGTGGTATGTGCCCATGTACTGCAAATTGTGTTTCTTTTTTTTGCACATATTCGGTACAAAAGATATTACAAAACATTTTCATTGATAGCGTTTCTATAAAAGTTAGTATTACCCTGCAATTTACTATTGTAAGTTCTTATAACACATAAGTTTTTCATAAATTTACGAAAGAAACTATTTTATGCAATGTTAAAAATGTTTTAATATTTCAAGGATTAAGTATAGCAAGCATCAGTAGATTCAAAATTAATTCGATTTTTGTTTCAGGTTAGGTCTAATGTCACATTTTGGGGCGTTGGCGGCAGCTAGTAGTAGATATGCAGCTTTATGTGGACCAGGTGATCCTAGGAGTTTGCCATGGTATTGGAGCCGTTTACAACCACATGTACCTCATGATAGATCTAGTCCAAATGGTAAGTGACATCCATCCGATTTACTACTTGAAGTATTAAAACAAAAAATACTAGTGCAATTGCAGATTGCTAAGGGAGTTGAAATACAAAAACTTCCATCATATCATTTCACTAAACAAATATAGAACTGTACTCCCCGAAATTTAGTTGAGATACTATACTGTAACGTAAATTTAATTACGTCGTTTATTTATAACAATTAAATTTATAAGTCTGGAATTTATTTATACCAGTAAAATAATTTATAACTTACAATTTGATCGAAATAAGTACTGAACTCGAAACACAATTCGATTTGCTTATATAGTAAACGATATTTTTCTCATGGTTACAATGATAAAATCACTATCAACATCCATCAAAAATCGCATTGATTTTTAACTGATATAAAATTAGAAAGGTTATGGCAGTTCTACCAACCAAAAAAACTTCAAAAATTCAAAAAACTGTCGATTCGATTGAGCTAAGTCTCGGACGATGCAACTTTCCGCAAAGATTGCGTTACAGATGGTTTCGTCAAAATTCGAAGCCTACTTCAAAAGTTGCAAAAAAAATCAAAATTGTTAAAATATCCACATAGGTAGTAGCATTATTTTGCAAAAACCGAAGAGAGGAATTGTCAAAACTTGTAACTTTTTTTGTCATTTTATACATTTGGCAATGGGGATTTTTTCTATTTTGGCCGTACATGTTAATTTTCGTTTTTCGAATTTTGCATATCTTTACAAAAAAATTAATAATTTTCGCACGATTGGCACGGCGATCGAAAGAGGAAGCATATGTGGCTATCGTATTCCACTTTGTGCGCAAAAAAATTCGAATGCGTCTCCGCAAAACGACACCAAAGTGAAAATAAAAAAAGTAATCAAAACGGGCGCACAATGGGCACTTGCCAGTTGCCAGTTAAATTCTTTGACCTTTTTCTACTTAACGATTACTTCAAGGGCCACCTCTGTAATATATGCTTCTCATTTCGACAGAACGGTCATAAGTGCGTTAAATCTGAAACAATATGATAACGCCGATTGATACTTGATACTTCGACATATGCCTGGTGTCATCGCCTCTCCCAGGATTTAGTGAACTGTCGTGGGGATGCGTTCCTGGTAGGCACTCCCCTTTTTATTCTTGTCCTCCCCCTGGTCTTTGTTCCTCCTGTATGTCCCCAGTATCTCATCTGCCTCATCTTCAGTCTCCTGGTGATCGTCTTTCCTCTTAGTAATTCCCTTATCTGCTTTCTTGGGAGGTTGCTGTGCAGTGAGTGCCTTCCGCTCCGCCCTCCTCAATGTTCGTCTATTGCTCCTTGTTAGCGCTGGACTGTTAACTCCGTATAAGAATTTTGGTGCTGTGATCGTGTTGTAAATCATCATTTTCAATTTTCAAAAATGTATAAATTCTGGTTCTTTATCAAATCGACGAGATTAGGTTATGCAATAGTTTTGTGGAGATTTGAGGTCCATAAGTGACCTTTTGTGAGACCTCGCACATTCTTCACAACATTGATATTAGGTAAAAATCGCATTAATTTTTAAATGAACGGAAATTGAAGGCAGTTTGACGCAAATAATACATCTTGACCCAGCGAATACATAATTTTTGTCGGGTGCTGGTTTGGGCCTGCGTTTCAAATGCTATTTAAAGTGCTAAAGGTAAGAACTAATAATTTAAAATACTTCATTTGTTGCAAAATACTCACTCTAGAGGAGTTTTAAAATGCCAAGCCTTTTTACCAACCTATACGATGATATAAATATATTGGTGCTTTTTTGAGCCGAATCTCGAAAGCGAAAAAACTTACAAGAGAAGATGGTGGAGTGAAGCATTCGTTACCGAGATACCGTCATTTAGTACAATGAAAAGGCCACTCAACAGAATTAAAAGTACTACCCATTGATTCATAGGTGATCTTTCGTGTAACTGGAGCCCGTTAATAGATTTTATTCGATTTGAATTTTACTTCAATTTAAATATATGGTGCTGACTTTTTTAACGCGTGTCAGTGACTCGTAGGAGATGGCGTTGTAGCTTCCGTTTACGGGAAAGATTTTGTTTATTTTGCAGTCGTGGCGATCAAGGCTACTATACGTTACGTGGGTATTGCTAACTCAGCGGGAATTCACGTAACATTGATTTAATTTATTACTCACGTGATTGGATTGAACGATAAAGTTGGTTTTTATTGGTGGAAACGGTTTGAGTTACTAGATAAGTGACAATCAAACAGTAAAGTAGTGGGAAGTTGGTTGTTCGGAGGAAACGCAGGGATAATTCCCGGGAAGCGGTCAGCAAAGTAAAGTCGATCACCTGTAAATCTCCGTGGGGTGGTTTTTATTTTTGTGTGAAATTCTAGTTGAGATCCGAGCGAAGTGAAGTCAACCACCTGTAATTCATCGCAGGGTGTTTTATATATATTGGTGCAAGAACTCCAATAATCAAGAGTGTGCATTACTTGCGGAACAACTTGTAGCGAGAGTTGATTACGTGTAAAACAAATGCATAAAGTTGAAAAAGGCGGCAATTTGAGCGTTTAGTAACCCTCATTCACAAGAGGTTTAGAAAGTATCACTATAAATACGAACAATAGTGGAAGTTTTAACCCACAAAGAATTAAAGTCGTGTGAGCTTAAACAAGGTTATTTGGCGAGTACGACCAACACCGTAAACCCAAAACACAGCGTAATATTTCAATGGTGAATGGATACAAATACATAACGTATTTCCATTGAATTTATTAGATAACCAGAATCCTCCAACTGAGTTCAATTTATACTTCATTTCTCACTTGGTCCACCTAGAGAACATTTTTCGGTAACACCAACATTTCTAGCGCCTTCCCAAGTGTTCAAGTCTCACTTCCATACAACAAAACGCTCCATATAAATGTTGTTCCGATGTTTCCTAAGGTGCAAGTCAGTATTGTTGGAGGTAAACATTATTTCTGTTTTGATCTCCCATCCCCGCCCAGGGTTGCAGTCGTAAAATTAGCAGAGGGTATACTGTGCACGCATCGAAATGATCAGAAGGTTTACTCTATAAAAACGGCTGTATAATTTTATCGTGTGGTATTTGTAGGTATTTGCTGCAAATGCATTTTGGGATGCCACAAAAATGTCGTAACTTTTAGGTAATAACCAACGTAATTCATAAAAGTTAAATTTCGTTTCGTTTATTTCAGGACTAATCTTGTGGACTTTCTTTTTCTAAGAAGGTATACGCTAATCCGTCGATTACAACCAGAAGGTATACGCCGTATACCCCCGACTGCAGCCCTGTATACGAGTATACCTCAAACATAGTTTTAAAAAATTGCAACAAATTTTAATGTATTAGGGGGCTCCCGTTGCAATATAGGTGTTTCATTTGTGAGATGCAGGGTGAGATGTAACGAAAGTATTATCTGGCAGTGTGTATGAATCCCAATGACTTTTTTAATTTTCTAAAAATCAAGAAAGAGTTGGGTGGAGAGCGATTCCAGTTGCCAAAAGAAGCAGTTTCGTATTACAAACGTAACGTAGCTATAATCTCTGGATAGATTGTATAATAGCAAAAACTACGACATAGAAACGAATCGATGGTAGCGCCGCATTTTATCCTAATGTCCATCTCCCTTTTCTGTATGCACGTTTATCAGCCCCGACCGTTTGAGCATGTGTTAAATGTCAGTGGGACAATGGTATTAGTACCTACCACATAAAACAAAATATTGTATATACAATATACATGACGCATTTTCCATTTCATATTTTAAAAAATCCATCCTGCTTTCCACCCGCTAAATCAAATTACAGCAAAAATCAATAGCAGCTTTTTTTCGGTAATTCGATACTAATGTTTTTGGATTCAACTGTGATCATTATAATCGAACTGAATTTAGGCTACAAACGCACTGCCATTTCCATCAACAATACATAAAACGTGGCTTTCATTTAAATTACCACGTACATTTAGACCCCGTATGCCGGAGGCAAAATTGAGTTGATTAACTGTTGACTACTAAAACCGATACAGACAATATATGGACGCAATTCATTATAAAATGGAACGGATAATTCGTATCAATTTGTATAGAGTTTTGAAACATCGATATGATATTTCAATGAAGTTGGTAGATATGCTAAAATTCTACCCGAATCGTGCATGGGGTAATTTTGTTGTTACTAAAGATATCAAAAACCCCTAAATCGTTGTCGCTTACACTTTATTATTTTATAGCGAGCCTATTGAAAGGAAAAGTATCGAGTGTCATCTGTAGGTATTGGTTTTCAGATAATTTCGCTTGACGAAGGGTTTTTCATGGCTTCATTTAAGTGAAAGCAAAATGCATTCCTTAAAGCCGGATAGATTGGCTTTTATTATAGTACACATTTCGTTTAGGCTACGAAGCCACCCGCGGGATATTATGTGTAGCTGTAGACTGAGGAACCGAATCGTCTGCCCTACTCAGTTGGAATTAATAAATTAAATTTCGACCTGTCACATTAGCGCCCACTTGTTAAGCATCAACAATTTAATTATAATAGATACATTAGTTGTGCTTGATTGGGATTTTCCTATATGGTTAACGCTCTATCCACTTTATGTACCCTCCATTTTTATCATGTGAGTTTGAATTTTGTCGAGCGAGATGCAAAATATTTGCGAAATAAGCGGCATTTGTGGTCGTCCTCGTCCCCTTTCGGGTAAGTGGTCGATTATTCCTCTTTTCCGGTTGCCTATGATTAACGAGCGACAAAAAGCGAGTTTATGATTTTGGACTTTCTGTCCGTTCGTCTGTGTACACTATAACTCGCTAACGGTTTCAAGGGACTAATTGATTAAATTTTGATCAATATTCGTCAACCGAAAATGACTTTGTCGCTCGTATACAGGGTGATTCCTATAGTACCTGCCACCGTTTGGGAGCGTATAGGGGGTGCCTAGGGGAGTATTTTGATATAGGACACTTGGGGTCGGAAATCTAAAATAAGGGCGCCAGAACCAAATTTATCTTCTGGAATTTC